AGGAGGGTAATTTATTTAAACTCCTGCTGAGATCTACATCAGTCCCTGCTTTGAGTGCAAATACCTTGAATTACAACACAATTCAGTTACAGCAGAAACAGTTAAAATGTAATGATGCTCCAAGACCCAAATGTCCTAACTAGTAAGAAGTTGTGCTGCTGGGAACAGATTTGTAGAGGAAAACAGTTGGTGTCAGAAGGGATAATTTTAGCTTGGCTGGTCCTTAAAGTAATTAAAGCTAACTAAAATAAATTAATTCTTTTTCAGAAAATGCCTCTTGCACTAATTGTCAACACTGATTTCTCAAATTCTGAAATTTCAAATCTGTTGTACCAGAGGGCCACATTTTGTTGTGCAGTTATATCATTTATCAATATTTAGTAATTAGAGTCATTTGGCTTCTCTGGTACTTATTGTCTTATATGTTTCATTTGCCTTTTTTTTTAAATCTAGGATGGTTTTCAGCAGAATAGCTGTTCAGAAACTACTTGCTAGTAAATGCCGGTGTTACAGCATGGATGCGCCTGATGATATGGTCCTTGGGATGTGTTTCAGTGGCTTAGGAATCCCTATAACACATAGTCCACTTTTCCATCAGGTCAGAGAGTTATTTTTACTAGTATTTAATGTATGTTTCATTATTTCAGGTATGCACATAGAACAGGATTCATAAATATTTCAAACTCATAAATAATGCAGACTCAATCAATGTGTAATAACAATAACCAAGATGCTGCTCCTATACCTTATTTCTCTACAGAGCAAGCAAATAATATTCTCAAAGCAGGGATTATCACAATGCTGTAATAGTTTAAAAGATATTTCAGTTACCCTAAGACTACATTTTGTAAAAAATGCTGTCAGAAGTGGGAATTTTGAAAAAGAAATAAAATTAGGAGCCACATGCTTTGAATTCTTGTGATATGTTCTCTACAAAAAGAAAAAACCCTGCATCATAATTCTCTTCAGGTAATGGAGAACCGACTCTGAAATATTGCAGTAAATTTTTCTTTTCTACTTACCCAATTTTTCTATTGATGCAGTGTTTAGTATTCTGACATACCTCATTAGTGAAAATATAAAATGTAAAATTACTCTCAGAACTGTTGCTTTTGTGGTGAATTCTGCAGAGTAGTATAGATATTATAAATTGCCCTATGCTAACACAGGGGAAAAAGCGGTCACAAACCATAATTTTCTTATGACTGTATTCTCCAGTTTGGGAGAAATGGGTTGGAATAGATTAGAACCTTGTTTCTGTCTTCCAGAATATTTAATATTTAACAATCTAACTGCAGCATTACAGTTGAAAACACAATGCCAGAGATTTGCTGCCTCATAAACTACTTTACCTTCCTCCCATGGCATGAAAGAGAAGCAGCACTTACCATTTTTTCCTGACATTACACAGCATTTTTAAAAATCAGCATTTTAATCAGTGTGGTGTTGAGGATATTCAGGTGTTAACCTAGTTTGAAAACTGGAAAGACCTGTGCGTCTCAACATGAACCGAGATTAAGATAAAATGCTACTTGAAAATTTGTAAATTGCCATGTAATTCAAAGCAGCTGTCAGTGGGGGGAAAAGGTTTGCTATTTAAATTATAAGGTTTTCCTGTATTAAGATTCTCTTTCTGATTACATTTACTATTTAGAGGAATGGGAAGCCTGAGAAAGCACTATTCAATATTTTAATTTGTTGTCTGTATAAAAAAATCATAGCTGTTTACTTTCCTATTTTCTTCATCATTGTTTACTCCTTTCAGTGTAGAAAGCAAGTAATGCATCTTATAAAGTCAACAGAGTTATTGAATAATTTGTGCTGGCACAGGTGTTTGTTTAAAAAACCCCAACACCTAACTAAAGGAGAGTCAGAAAGAACAGAACTGGTTTTACAGATATGTAGGAACGGCCCTTATATAATGAAACAGGGCACTTCCGTGTCATCTTTAATGGTGTACATCTGCTAATGAATCACTTTGAAAGTGAAATCCTAGAAGTTTGATTTTCCACTGCACTTGAAATTGTAAATCATCTTTACTGCTGTTTACAACAAATTCTAATTTAACATACCTTGAACAAAAATTAACGGGGGGGGGTGTGTGTGTGTGTGTGTGGAACTACTGAATAAAAACTAAGTGGGCTTATTCTGCAAATTCCACTATTAGGCAATAAGTATTTTAAAAATGAGAAAAACAAAATTGGATTTTCTGTCAACTGGAAAATTATTTTTTAAAGGCTTGACTGAAATACTGTGATGTACAATGTTCCTTGAAGTACATGAATCCAAAATTGTACTGTGTATATGTTATGAAACAGAAGCACAGATATCTTCATACTGGAGACATTCAAGGCCAAGTTGGATGTTTGTTTTTAAGCAACCTGGTCTAGTTGAAGATGCCCCTACTCACTGCAGGGGCGTTGGATTAGATGACCCTTAACTATACTATGATTCTGTTTTACCAAGGAGCTTTTTTATATATTGATACACTTACATGCTGTCAGAGGAAATGAAACATGCTTGATGCATGGAGAAGTCAGCTGCATCAAGTAGCTGTGTTGTAATCCTGTCTCTTTTGATATAACTTGATGAAGAATGACAATGCAGTTTTCCGGCACCACAGTGTTTCTGTGTTTGGTAACCTTTCCCCATCATAAAACTTCATATATTTTAGCTGCTTACAGCCCTCTTAGGATCCTACAGTTGCACTGGATGTGCTGGCAACTCTTATTAATAGGAGGAGCAGGAGAGTATTACTTAAAATCTGTTGTTATTGAAGCAAAAGTGTATGTTTAAAAAGATGCAATACAAATTATACTGCATCATTCACTTTCATAGATGGTGATGGTTTCATCCTGAGAAATAGGGCATGTTTAATGTCAGTGTACTTCATAGCATGATGACCGCAGTGCGAGTTGGATATCTAAACTAATGCCTGTCAATTGATTTAATATAATGATGTGAAAACCCCTTTGTGTATGTTTTGTCAATTCCACATTGCTTTGTTGTGGTACACAGGCCACTGGACAACAGTACTTTCTTGTTCTAAACTTGTTCTTCATCACGGAGTACTAGTGGTTTTGGTTTATTCTTCCACCCTAGGCGAGGCCAATGGACTACCCAAAAGGCTACCTTTCTCACCAAATTCCAGTATCATTTCACAAGCATTGGAATATTGATCCAGTGAAGGTATATTTCACATGGCTGGCACCAAACACAGAAGAGTCACTTAATGGGAAGAAAGTTGGATATAACAGAGAGGATTTATAAGCAGTAGAATGTAAATGTCGATGGATGTACTGCAGAGAAGAGACAGTCACTGCTGTGATTTTTGTGGTGGTCTCATGTTGTTCATCTGTTCATGATACAGAAGACAAGGTTTGTTCCCGTTTGTTATATTCCTTAGAGCAATGGGAGAAGGCACCTAATTGACTCTTTTGTCACACTTGGTTTCTTTTTAAAATGTTTTAGGGTTTTGTATACCAATGAGCTTGAAACGTTTAAAATGTCTCATATAACTTTGTGTTTTGGTTTGGGCTTGGAGTCAGGCAGCTTCAATTTACATCTCCTTCCTTTGTTCTCTCAAAAGCTGAAGTTATATATTTGGGAGCCTAATACTGAATATGTGTGGAGTATCTATTGAACATCACCTACATTGACCTACACAAAACAGTGCTCAGAAAAGCTGTTCTGGAGCAGGTTCTTTGGTGATAAATCAGAGGGGAGACATGACTTTGTTTCAGTGACCAGGAGCTAGATTATGGTTGTGTGAAGGCTATGTTCCTTTATACTCATTTCAAATGTAAGTACTGACGTCTCCTGGGATTGGTGGACCAAGCGTGAACCACTGTTTTTAAGTTTATTAGCGTTTGTGAGGAATTTCATGTTCAAAATGGAGAAACGGGATTTCTTAAGTGGCCACGGGAGGTCACTGTGGCTCCTTTAGATACCTAAGTTACTATATCTGTTTGGGAAGTACAAATGTGACTCTAAAGGATTATTGCAGAACTAACACTTCAGTATTTCTGATGTGTGTATTTCAATAGTATATGGATGCCAGCTTTAAGAAGTTTGTAGTATTTCTAATTTATATCATCAAGGTGAGTAATTTCATACATACATGTAAAGAGTGATTCTATTCATATTTAAAATATTTTTGATTTTTCATTTCTTTGAGTACTTCAGTTTTGTAAAAATGTTTGTACAAAAACTGGCTTTAGTATGTTCTAAACTAATTTTTATATTGTAGAACTGTTCCTTTTGAGATTACAGTATATGGCGCTTATATGCTGTTATTTAACTTTGCTTGCTATATTGTAACCAAAATACAGGGTCTTAAAGCCATACTGCTGAAGTAATTTGTGGTTTGTTTTCTTTTAGTAAGTTACAACCTGATTCCACTCCAAATGCAATACTTGTTCTTAAGTTGAAGTAGGGGAGCCACTGATTCCTGTGTTTCAGTAATTACTGAAGTTGTATAAACATTTGTTTGTGAATGTAGCTTGTGGAATTTTAAGCATTTGAATAGCAAGCACATGTTCGTAACAGATTCAGATTCTGATTAAATAGGAGCAATCCATGTTATGTCTTTTTTCTTCCCACTACCAGTGCCTTAACAGTAGACATTTTACTGACCCCAGGACTGTGTTCTCCAGTACTGTGGGTGAATTGTTAATTATGTTTACTGTTTAGAACTGTGAGAGCTGAAAGCTGAATAAAAGCATTCTTCTTTAACCTTTTGTGCCACCTTCCTCTTTGCAAACCAAGTACAGGATTATTTAAGCACGCATCATAATTTCATCACCTGGATAGTATTCTATGCTCAATTGTACTAAGAGACAGCTTAAACTTTTCAGGTTTTCATATTCCTTCCTGACATGCTTATAGGATCATAGAATCAGCTAGGTTGAAAAAGACATTTGAGATCATAAGCCTTTACCCTAGGACTGCCAAGTCCACCACTAAACCACATCAGTGGATTAATTTTCAAGTCTCTGTTTTTATGTGAACGAAAAAGGCTTTTGCAGTGAGCACATGTGATTGGGAATCTTGATGCTATCATAAAATATATGTCAATATCAAATTCTCCAAAGGTCTTGCAATGTAGTCCAGTCACTTCCAACTTCAGACTGGTGACATTCCACATGTGCTTGGGCCCTGTGGGGGCAGAATAGGTCAGTCAAAATCAATCAGTTTTTGGTCATGCTGTGTTATACTTGTAGACATCTGTTTTATTTAGAGATTGGGCGCCATTGACTTGTTCATTGATTGCTTACTTGGACTTCAGCTTCTGGTCTGACACATGTAATAGTAGCTGTCTGAAGCTCCATCTTTTCTTTTGCTGTTAGCTCTGGATTTTACTACACAATTGTGGAGGTATTAGTAAGCATCAGACTTCTGATTCTCATCTTTATTGTTTTGAAAGCAATGAAGCAATAATTTACTCAAACATTCTGCCCCCAAAACTCTGACTTTTGCGACATAACTAATGCTATGCAACCCTAGCAGAAGAATGATAAAAGTATGAACTAAAAAAAATAAGATTGGGGCTTTTTTTTTTTTTTTTTTAAAGCAGAGGATTGTGGACAGGTTTTGCAAACAAGATGTGAAGCCTTCTATATTAAAGTTAGTTTTAAAAGACTTAGGAAGGCTGTTATTATCTGAAATCTAAAGACAAAATTGCACATTAATGAGCCTCAACAGTACTCAGGTTTCTAAGGAAAATCAAGGGGATTATAAGTCATGTAATGTTAAAGCAAAGCAAGAGGAGTTGAATTCACAACACTTTTGTAACAGGCAGATTGAAATAGGACTGCAAAGTTGCTTGACAACTTGAAGTTCTTCAAGTTCCCTTTTCTGGGACATTACAGAATTTTGGTGTGAAAAAGAAAAGCTGTGGATCATTGTTGACTGATTTTAATGTTCATAATATAGAAAACTGCCATGTATTAAGATACTTCTTTCATAGAATTCTCTTGATAATTTGATTGGTTGATTAATCTGCTTTCGGGAGCAAAAACTCAAATCCTGAAATATTTCAGCGTAGCAGGAGTGATCAGTGATAACGTATTTGGGTCCCACATTTGATCACATGAGAAAATGAGGACTGTGAATCTATTCTTATTTCCCCACATCTGACATTGTCTCTTCCTCAGTGAGCAGAAAAACTGGGCAGGAGGCAGAGGCAGCTTGCTATCTGGGTAACTTTCTTTTTGTGCAAGAAAACTACCCTAACAGCAGCCCTAATGACTGCTGACTAGAGGAAAGTGTCTGAATTACTTTATTTTCAGTTCCTTAATTTGACATGGTTTAGGACTTTTTATTATCATGGCTGGAACTAAAATATGTCTCAGGAAGAGACCCGGGATGCTATCCCATTAGATGGTACAAAGCATTTTGACACTGTCCCACGTGACATCCTTGTCTCTAAACTGGAGAAGCATGGATTTGATGTGGATAAGGAATTGGCTGGATGGTTTCAGTCAAAGAGTTGTGGTAATGGCTCCATGTCTGAGTAGAGACTGGTGACGAGTGGTGTTCCTGAGGGGTTGGTTCTGGGACCAGTGCTGTTAAACATCTTTGTTGGTGACATGAACAGTGAGATTGATGCACCCTTAGCAAGTCTGCTGATGACACCAAGCTGTGTGGTGTGGTCAACAGGCTGGAGGGAAGGGATCTCTTGCGAGACCCCACCTGCATCCAGGTCTGTGGCCCCCAGCATAGAAGGACATGGACCTATTGGAGAGAGTCCAGAGAAGGGCCATGAAGATGCTCAAAGGGCTGAAGCACCTCTCCTATGAAGACAGGCTGAGAGATCTGGGCCTGTTCAGCCTGGAGAAGTCTCCAGGGAGACCTTAGAGCAGCCTTCCAGTACATAAAGAGTCTGCAAGAAAGATGGAGAGGGACATTTTACAAGGGCACGTAGGGATAGGAGGAGGGGTAACAGTTTTAAACTGAAAACAGGATAGATGCTGCATGGTAGTGTCTATTACCTGCTCCCTGAAAGCCTGGGAGAATGGCAGGAAACACAGCATGTATCCCCCCAGAAGGAGGGAAACACTGTATGACTGAATACCTAGTGAGTTCCCTGATTGTCTTAAGGAGAGCTCTTGCTGATCCTGCTTCAAGTACATTGACCATTCCCTAGCTAGCGAGGTAACAGATGTGATACAGAATGTAACACTAGGTAAACATGAGAAATAACAGCCAGTGTCAGGACAAGCTGAGAGCTCAGGAGGCATTTGTAGCTCTGTGCTTATTAAGGACAGTTGGTCATAAGTGCTGATGGGTGATGTTGGCCAATCCACCAGCCTTTTCTTCCAAAGACTTCTGGAGACTATGCATCTCACTAATGCTCTGTTTGCAAGCTCCTTTCACTTGCAGTTGGAAACAAGTATGGCTCTGTTCATCAGGTATACTTCCTTGAGGTAGTCCTTCACAGGAGCTCTGCTCCAGGCGCAGTGCTTGGATTTAGCCTACTCTCTTCTCCTATGGCCTCATTCTGCCCATTCATGTATCTCTGCTGAGAAGTTCGCAGCCTGTCTCTTGTCCCGACAAAGTTAAGAATTTGTTTTTTCCATTCAGGCTAGTTTGTACAGTTTGTACAGGCTAGAATTTTTCTGTTGATGTTCACCAAAATGCCTCTGATCTTACAAATGCTAGTTCTGGAATGATTTTACACTTAATAAACAGTGAAATACATTTTTAAACCAAATAAAATGTGGATAATAATCCCATAATTACCAGGTTATTATCTTCTTGTGAGGAACAGTGTCAAGTACAGAATGCTTGAAAAAGATTTAAAGTCCTAGCAGAGTAAGACATAATTTTGTTTTACAAGAGCTGACTTACCTCTGTCATGCCTTGCCACTTGTTCACCTAAGTGCTGTAATTAAAACTTCAACAAACGTTTGCTTTTGAAGCCTATAATCATCCTGCCAGTCTTTCAAAAGCTGATGAAGTATTTATTGCCCTTCCAGCATCATCGTAGGTGCTTATAGTGAGTGTTTTCATGACCTTGGTTACCAATTAACCCACTTCATTCTTAAAATCTTTCTGGTTTCTCAAATGAATACCCTCGAAGGTTGATGGGTTACAGTGAAGAGGACAGAGAATGCAGAAAAGCAGAAAGGAAAGAGATACTGAAGTTAAGCTGTAAAACTGAGGTCTGTGCAGCTTTTATGTCCATATATGCAGCCATATGCTCATAGATATAGATGCTGATCTCCATGTTGGAATCAGCCTTTGCAGCTTTGCTGAGAGGTTTCTATCATATCTTCACTGCAAGGACAAAAGGATTATGGATTTACGTTAATAATGGACAAGCCCACGCTACAATTTACTGCTTTTTTTCCGTGTGTATAAATGTGATTTTTCTCCAGCCTCTGCAGAACCGGAACCCTGAGTGGGCTGGTTAACTCCAACCTTTGCCTCCACCCACCCACAGGCAAGATCCCCCACATAGCTGAAATAACAGCCAGTTTTAACCGACACAGCTGATGTAGCTTATGGCCCCATGGGCAAACATAATAAAAGTGCTGCTCTTCATGGAAAGCTCTATTCAAGCACCACAACTCTTCATGTGCTGAAAAAGGCAAGACAGTACTGCATAGGAGTCCAGCTGTGGGACTGAATAGACCCCAAGAAGCAGTAACATGGCCTGGCTCATTGCATTGTCGTTGCGTGTATCGGATGTAAAGAGATATTGAACAGAAACATCAAATGCAGTGAGATGAGTCAGATTCTTATGGACCTGGGGAGCTGTTTGCTTGTCAGCAATCATTTAAGCAGGAAATATCTTCCTTTGAGGTCAAAAGGTAACATATTGCAGAACTTGCTTGGTTTAACTCTAAAGATAGAAAAAATGCGAGGTGTGATAAGGATCTCTAGAAATATGGAGTAGATCTGTTCGGTGAAAGACTATAAACAGGCTAGAAGTATTCATTTGAAAAGGCATGAGAGGGGCAGAACTCCATCTAACGAATGATACAGGAAAGGTGAACAGGGAGTGATTTTTCACTATCTCATAAGCCAGGTACTGAGGTACACTACAAACTTGTCAGGGTAGTTTCAGTACAGGCACACGTATTTCTGTAGCACAAAACTGAACTGCAGAACCTGTTGGCACAGGATGGACAGAGGCTGGAAAGCGCAAAAGGGCTTAAAATGGTTTGTACAAAATCACAGCAGAAAGTTCCATAAATTCCTAAACAGACCTTTGCCCAGACTCAGTATGACTCTTCCTGTGTAATATTGGTATGGACAAAGTTCAGTTCAAAGGGTGAGCTTGGGGTTTTTGGTTTCCACCAATGGTGGTTATGGGTAGTGCTTCAGTTCCTGTGCTCTCAGAGTATCCTGTGGTTGTACGAGTCCAGAGCCACCTCAAAGATAATCTCTGCTGCCATGACAATGTCTGAGGACCCCAGACAAGAAGATGATTGTGGACCCTGGGCCATGCATACATGCAAACTGAAGTGCTGGTCCACCACAACATACAGGGCAAGAAACATGCCAATGACAAAGACCCAAAGCTCTGCAGGGCACCCAGCCAAGCTTTCCTCGCTGAATACGGTGTTAGGATCTCAGAGAACTGAGCAACTTTTCATATGGAGAAGTGAATAAGCTTTGTAGCTGGTATGTCAATAGCATGGTATCTCATCAGGCCTATCTGTCAGTAGTCCCCTTACCAGGAGGGGTGGTCACACTGGGAGATGGTCTCAAAAAGTTTTAAGCCCTGCATTATGAACAGAAGTTAGGGATTGATCTCAGAAAGACTGATGAATGTCACGGCAGCCTCCTTTGGATTTCTGGATGACTTACTGCCACAGTTACTGATGAAGGTGAGCTCCTGACAGTCACTGCTTCTGCTGGGCACATATTAAAAATGGTGGCAGATGTTCCTTAGCAAACATCATCATCAGTAGGATGCCCCTTCAGGTATCTGAAGCTTTTCCTGTGCTTATGACAGTTCCTTCAAACTAGGTGTTCAGATTACCTATTTTGTTCCCCTTGATATCAGACCATCAAGACTGAGATCCTGGGTGCACTGTATCCTAAGAAAGTTTAGTTCATTTTGATCCACATTTTGAAAGAGGCAAACCTCATCCTGGACGTGCTCCAGCAGTCACTTTGATAACCCTGCTAGGCCATGTCTTCATTCCAGACATCAGACACTTTGCCATGCCAGAGGTACTGAATAATCAGGTTGGGCTTGGCAGAGTTGTGCTGAGCTTCCCTACAGGATGGTATAGTTTCCTCTAAGGTCTCTGATACTCTGGTAAGCACTGCCTGGCATCATTCAGATTGTTTGCATGGCCATCTGAGGGCCAAAGAAGCAGTAATTTACCAGTTCTTTGAAAGTTCTCTAAGACTTAGAAATCCATGTCCCACCTTCCCCAAACCCTTTTTCTTCCCTGTGCTTTGCTACACCATAGTTTTCTGGCTTTGCAGGTTGAAAGGAATGGACATTTTAGGCTACATGTTTGATTGAGACCAAATGTTCTTGAACACCTTCATGCAAAGAGCCACCTCGATTCAGCTCTCTAAAATTTGTCAACAGTGGACCTGTGCACTTACTACAGATAACCATGGAGCAACACCTCCACCAGCTCCTGGTCTGGAAAGCACAGGGGCCCCTAAGACCTGAATTTGCATGTAAGTTATTGTCATGGTTTAAGCTGAACCCAGGACAGTTATCATTCATACAACTCTGGTAATTCAGAAGCAGTATCTTCCCTTCAGGGTTATAGCGTTTGCAGTGTATCAGTGTTCTCTGATACACTGCAATTCCTGCTGCCACTTGGCTCTAAAGTTAGCAATTTATTACTAAAAATGCAGCAAACAGCAGAGAGATGAGGGAAGTAGCTGTATGGGAACACAGCCTTGAGCCAGTTTCCATCCAGATCTTGCTCTCAAGAAGTGAGAGCTGAAGCTCCTAGCAGGGAAGTTTCTTGGTCGTTATGATTCTCACTTGTGCATGGCAAAAGCTCCAGCTTTGTACATCCTGCAAAGTACCTTTAACACTGGATCTGTGAGCAGAGCCAGGCCAATTCTCCTGACTTGTGAAGAGGAAGAAGATGGAGCGCAGCTCTAGCTGGGCTGAATATCTGCTCCAGGTGAGTAGTTCATTGGCTCCCACCAGTATTAATCACACTCAGTCTCTGAGAGGATTTGAGCCAAGGCTGCACTTGCTGTTTCTGGGTAAGCAAATCCCTTGTACCTCGCTCCCCACAGGGAGTGCCTGTCAGAGCTGTTTCTCAAGAGAACAGCACATCTGCACAGAAGCTCAGAATCACAGAATAGCCCTGGTACCTCTCGGGGCCGCCTGGTCCACCCCCCTGCTCAAGCAGGGCCACCTACAGCTGGCTGCCGAGGAGCAGGTCCAGGCAGCTTGTATCTCCAAGGATGGAGATACCACCACCTCTCTAGGCAGCTTGTGCCAGTGTTTGCTCATCCTTGCTGTATAAGAGGTGCTCCCCTTGCTGCCCTCATCCTGCTGGAAATTAATGGGCAGTTACCACTGTGACCTTTTGCTTGTGAAGGAGAATCTGTTTTCAATTAACACTTTGTCCCTTTGCAGGGCTTATTGCCAGTATCAAGCATCAAGGGTTTATTGCAGCCTTCCAAAGGTTGCATTGCTTGGACAGTGAAGGTGTCACACTGGAGACACTAAGGAAGGGATTTCCTCCAGCTGCGCACTCGCTCTGTGGCTTCCCTGACATTCCAGTGTGAAGTGCACTTCTCCCGCCAGCACAAAGGCAATCTGCTTGTAAAAGTGCACACTTCATTGTGTCAGTTATTTGTGGGTCAGATTGAGGCTTCTCCATGCTAGAGCCTCTCTACTTGTGAAAAGAATGGAAGAAAAGTGTTTGCTGCTGAGGCTGAGGGTTCAAAGCTTCTAAGGGATTGGTGCAGGCAGATACCTCCCTTAATAGTCACAGAAATTGCTTCCATGGTAAGAAAAAACTTCATATATTTCTTTGGCAATGCCCCAGTAGGACTGAAGTCCTGCTTATATCTGCAAAACATTTCAGGAGCAGCTCCACATCAGCCCCACTAAGTGCAAATCATACCAGGACCATCAAGCAGACTCTGAATAACTGCCCTCTTGCAAGGAGCTGCTAACCAGTGTTGGCTTCCCATGGCTCTGTGTCAGCCTTCAGAGGAATTAATGATTGTTGGGTACAAGGGCTGGGCTGAGCAGAGCAAAGTTTCTCACTGGGATTATTTAGAAGCAGTATAACTCATGGATCTGATCTGTGGGTGATGGCTTGTAGGAGATAGCGGTATACTCAAGTACTTGCTAGTAAGAACCACCAGAACATTCTCGTTCAAGATGGCTTGGCAGTGTTAAGACATTATAATTTAGACTTTACAACTTAGCCCTCCCCTGGGGTTTACAGACAATGTTAAGACTTTTTACAGGCAATGTTAAGACTTTACAAGTTAAGACTTCCCAACCTAGCCCTCCCCTGGGTTTTACAGAAAAGATGTTTCTGCACCTGCTGGTGGTGATAAGGTATGTTCGACCCATCCAGAACACAAACCTTTGCATTACTTAGGTACATGGTGGTGACAGCATTACTTACAAGATGAGAAGTCATTTGAGGGGGAGCCTGAATGCTCATCTCTAAGCTCTAAGCAGAAACCTCTGTGCTACCTGGAGCCACTGGACTACATGGAGCAGTCATGGCTGTCAAAGATGCTCCATTTTGCATACAGTACTTATACACCTGAAGGAGCAGCATATAGATCCCAGGGCTCCCTCTCTACTAGCTGAGTAGCTGCTGGATCTGTTGAGATAAAGAAAGGTATGAAATTGTGATAGGCTGCAGTTGCTCATCTTTCCTACTAAAAATGTTTGCAATGTTCTGACCATATTGCTGTGGATGAAGAGCATCTCTCTGCAGCAGATGGTAGTTTACATCCCCTTTCTCAGTAGGTGGAAGACCTGATACAGATACCAATGGAGTGTTCATTAGTGGATATTGGGCTTATACATCTCGGGCACTGTGAGTAACGTTGCAAGGCTATCTTAATTTTGTCTTTTATTTATTTTTACATGCACCCTTTGTAACATGTCTCATGGAATAGCTGTTGCTCAAACAGAAATAGCCTGCATTAGACAAATACAAATACACTTGAGTTGACTGAGTCATCCCCCTCAGGGTACAATTAATTATTCAAATGTTACATAACAGCTCTCTCCCTACTAAAATTATCAAATCCATTTAAAAATTTATGAAGGTATTCAAATATCTCTGTGAATTTCTAATTATTTTGAAGAAAGTTTCAAAGCCAGTGTACAACATCCATGAGTAACTCAGCAAATACTGCTACAAGCTATGTGCTCACAGGCATGTAAAGCTCCCTGGGCAAAATCATGCTATAATCCCTGAATCCTTTATTATTCAACACTGTATTGCTGCCCTCACAGCAATCAGTGAGCTCATGTTATTGGCTTCTGTGGGAGCATGTCCTGGTTTCAGCTGGGAGAGAGTTAATTATCTCCCTAGTACCTGGTGCAGTGCTGTGTTTGGGCTTTAGTCTGAGAACAATGCTGATAACACATCAATGTTTTAGTTGTTGCTCAGTAGCACTTATCCTGATCAAGGACTTTTCAGTCTTATGCTCTGCCAGTGAGGAGGGGCATGAGAAGCTGGGAGGAAGCAGAGACAGGACACCTGACCTGAACTAATCAAAGGGGTATTCCATACCACAGCACGTCATGCCCAGTATATAAACTGGGGAGGACTGGGTGGAAGGGGGTGTTTTGCTGCTTGGGATGAGCTGGGCTTCGGTCGGTGGGTGGTGAGCAATTGTGTTGTACATCACTTGTGGGGTTTCTTTTGTTTTCATTTTTCCTTTTGTTAATAATAATAAAAATCATTATTTATGTAATATTATTATTGATTTTATTATTTCTGTTATTCTTACTATATTTTACATTATTTCAATTACTAAACTGTTCTTATCTCAACCTGTGGGTTTTACCCGCTTCCTATTCTCCTCCCCATCCTGCCCAGGGAGGAGTGAGCAAGTGTCTGTGTTACATGTAATTGTCAGCTGGGTTTAAACCGCGATAGAGCAGAACTGCCCTGAGATCACCAACAGTCACAGCAAGACATCTCAGCTCCCTGGTACACCCTGCCTGCAGCACCCCTTTCTGGAGCAGACCTTGTGCCTCAGGGCTGTCTGCGCAGCTCCATTTCTAAGCAGCAGTGTGCTTCCCAGGCAGCACCAGTCTGCAGCTGATCTGAAACTGTGGTCTGATTATAAACAAAACCAGGGTAAAGCCTAAATTTAAATCGCTTTACATGGGAAGGTTAATGAATAGAAAATTATGAGTTTGCTTTTCCTTGCAGCAGGAAGCAGGAATTTTCAATAACAAGCTAATGAATAACAAACACTATTGCCTTTGTTGAGCAAGTGTCTCAAGTCATTTTCTTTATGAATAAGGGGTATGAGAAAAGAGATTTACTCACAGGCTGAAGAACATAACATTCTTTTACTTCTCTAGTTATTTGTTAAGGGTAGTAGATCAGCCCTGTAAGACCAGCGCAGGGAAATGCTCTGTAAAAACAACAGAGATGGGTCAACCCAGTGGGGGTCCTTCAGAGGCGTGCTGCAAAGCTGTAGACATGTCATCACTTCTGCAGGGATAATTGCAAGTGTGTTGATTCCTCCTGAAACACTTTAAACTCACACTCCTTGGCTCTCAGAACCGGTGTTGCTTAAACCCCAGGGCATGTAAGATTCTTGGAAACTCTTTTTCAGGCAGTCTTAAATTTGACTTCCCACTCATCTCTTTTTCTGCAAAGCGCTTTTCTCCCCTCCACAGCTTGTTTCTTTGCCTAATGAACCTACCATCCAAACAGAGATCAGCAGAGAGACTGAGGGGACCTTAGTCATTCTCCCATCCCAAGTAGGTGGGTGTGCTCTTGTTTAAACCAAGGGTACCTGTGAAGCAGAAAATGCCCAGAGCACCCCAGAGCTATTCTCCTACTCTATTTGCATTTTTTGTCACTGTTTTATATGCATTTACATACCAGCATAATTTACTGTATTTTGCTCCCACGGAGGAGACAGTTGGAAAGGGGGGAGTTTTGAAGCCTGTTGTAGAGCAATGCACAATTACTATTTTATCTTTAACGAATTCCTCTGCACCCACTACCTGTGAATACTGCAGTGATATCATTTCTCTGCAAAACTGGGAGAAAAACTCTCTGTCGCCAGTGGGATTCCTTTTAACATACCTTTCCCAGGAATCGGGCTGTTTTGCTCTCTGCTATGACTATGAGTCTCCAGCTCCGACTGGAGTGCACCGACTGTAAATACAGGAGTGCTGAAAGGACTGGACAGCCCCATGGTCATCCTGCTCAGGCTCAAGCTTGCATCAGCCTGGCTTTACCTGGTGCTCAGAGCAGCAACAATGCTGGGGCTCATTCCACACTGTCCTTTATTCCCCAACCTGCCCAGCATGGGCAGACCAGCCGCTGACTGTGTCCTCCGTCACCTGAGATTGCAACAGCACGGCCTGGAGAGAGGAGCCCTGTGTGTCTCCAGAGTACCGTGTGCAGCCAGGGCTCTGTATGCCCATAGAGTGTTCAGCTGCAAGTTCCCTACATCACCTATTACCCCTCAGAGCTGGGTGTGGGTGAATATTCAGCTTTCACCCATTTCCTCTCCTGTGCTCACAGTGACAGCACTGTCCATGATGTCTTCAGTATATGAGGTATTGCCTCCTTGTTGCTGGATATTTCACACCTCTACTTTTGCTGCACACCTCAAGCAGCATCAGGGGGATTCCACACAGCCTTTACTGACTGACTTTTTTACTTAATCCTCTAATTTCCAGAAGTACCATCCAGCATTATGCTTGACGTGCTGCTCTCTGCTGCATTTGTTAACCCCCCACGGCCTCCAAGTAGGTATCGCACAGGTTAGCAAAGAGTTGGAGGTGGCCCTTAACATGTCAGTGAGCTCTTAGAGGACTTGACAATGGAATTACAAGCTGTGTTTAGTAAGAGGCAGTGCTATATTAAGGCAGTCATCAAACAACCCCGAAGATCTTCCTAACTATGTTCACAGCAAGGAAAAGCTTTCTGATTGTAGGTACTTTCCATCCTCAAGAGCTGCATCAAAACAACACCCCAGCAGCTCATGCTAGTGCTGAGAGGAACAACAGCCAGGAACCAGTCCTGCACTCACTTGTTGTGCTTCCTAAAGGTGAAATTAAATGATTCATTACTCATAAAAACTTAATGAGCCTCATAACCCACTTGTCAGGGCAGTCCTGATTAACTGATGCAAAGGGCACCCTGTTGGGTCTGCACAGCTTCAGTTCAACACGTGATGCCAGAGCAGCCGTGGGCTTCCAGCAGAGAGAGGACCCATTCCCACAGACATGGAAAGCCTCTCTGTCCACACTGAGAGGAAAAAAGGATGTTTCATCTTTGTTCTTGAACATAAAATTTCTATAGCCTCTTGCCAGAAACATTCTCTTCACTGAATCAGATTTGCTTTTCAGGTTCTGTGTCTTTGTACTTCTAAATTTAACTGGAACTTACAGTTCCCGTACTAGGAGGTTCACATTTTGGACATGGGAAGAATTTCATTTCCACCACTCTAGTTGCTTCTCTCTACTTAAACAATAAAGGTATAAAAGTAATGCTGCAGATTTCCTTGGGACATGTACCCATTGTAAATGGGTGCTTTTGGGACTTTCTCACCACTACTAGAGCAGGTCTCCTGAGAAGCAACAGGTGCTCAAAGGTACCTGAAATTCCAGGGTTCATTTTCTTCTCTCTATGGATACCACTGTATTCAGCCACAGGCTTTAAGGCTGGAAGGCTTTAGTTACTGTCTAGTCCAATGTGCAGCAGAGAAAGCTGTATGCTGTACTGGAAGGCTGGGTGCACTATCTGGGGGAAGAGTAAGGTGGGAAAGATGGGACCTTGCTGGAGGGAGGCACAGCAGTGTCCTTGGGAAGGGGTGAACAGCACGCAGGGACTTGGGGGGCTGAGTGGAAAGCAGGGAGCAGAGAGGATATGTGTGATTGGGGCAGGAGGAGATCTAGGACTTGCAGTGGAAAGGAAAGGAGAGCCAGGCAATCACTGTGAGATCGGAGGCTCTGTTGTTATAAGACCTCTTTAAGAGCTAACTAGAAAAAAAAAAAACAACAACCCAGCACTGAAGAGACCAATTTATTTTGTTTTATAGGAAGTAAACCAGTTCTCTGCATATCTCGGTGTGCCTGGCTTTCATTAACATTTATAAGCCAAAATATTACTGTAGAGATAAATATGGAACTTTACTCCGAATCATCCTTGAATATTAGAAAAAATTTACATAAAAGCAAGTATCCAAAGGCTGATGACATCTCAGTTACAATTTATCATGTCAGTTTCCACTGAAATCCTCTTTTTGTGATGATTTACAGTTATGACTGTAAGCAAAATTTAATTCAAAACCAAGCCCAGTAATGGTTTGTCTCTAGTCAAGGGCTTTAAATGGTGCTCAGCCATACAAGATCCTTCTCCTTCCCACCTGCAGATTTACAGACAGTCTCTATCTCCTTATAATCATCCCACAATTCCCAGCTATTTTCAAGGCCTGTGGCATTTTTTCCTGCAGGTACCTATTGCTCAGAGGTACTTCATCTTCTCCTCCTAGAGCACTGTTCTGGACAAAGGTGATAAAACTCCAGAGACTGGGAGAACGTGAATCACCCCTCCCCTCCTGTGGGAGCATGGGTGTATGGTCCCTATGTTTCTGTGTGGAGCCTCTCTGGGACTACTAGAAAAGTTGCCTCCCTCTGCCAGCTCATGGGACATTCATCTGTGGAGAGCAGCATCAGTGGTGTGCATGAAGAAGAAGCTGGAGCAGTCTACCAGCCAATGGGTGCAGGGCACGTACTGGTTGAAGTGGGAAGGATGGGACAGGAAATATAAGTTTTGGGGTATTTTGCAAAACCCTGCATGACCTTGGGCAAATTACTTTGTGCCTGGTGAGATGTGAGAGCTTCAGGTGTCAACTGGTAACACACGTTCGTGGCTGGCAAAGTATAGGTAAGTCCACATAAATTTGTGGATTGCAGCACATTTGCAAGTAAAGCCATGGGTACCTAAAGCTGCACGCCTGAAGCAAAAAAGGCTTAGTGAAATATAGGTCTTCATTTTACCTTAGTTTTCTGGCCACTGGACTAATCTGTAGCTTCAAAACACTATGCATTTGGTTAAAGTAAATTCCATTTCCTCTCATGTATTATATATAGATGCGTCCTCAGTACTTGTTTGGTACAAGTACATGTTTGTGTCCATATATATGAGCAGGGTAATTTAACAACTCTTGCAAAAAAATGCTTTTCAGTAAGACTTTTATGAAGCCCACATAGAGGCACTTTATAGCACAGATTCACTTTGGCTGACTACTGTATTTCAAATACTGCTTCTTACATCAGCTCTCCCAGCTCTTCTTTGCTAATAAATTTGAGGTTTGGGAATTGAGACAAGCAGAATGTACATAAATGAATACCTCTGTGATATAAACAGTGTCAGCCACCAAGTCATAAAACTTAATGTATTGAAACCCATTAGTGATAAATCTAACTATATCAGGCTGTTGGAAAGGAATAGATTAAAACATTTTAAAAGGCTAAGAAAAGATAGGTATTTCTCTTGATTTAAGCTCAAATTCAAAGTCAAGGAGAATGGTTTGCCTAAAGAAAAAAGGAAGATGGATGGAAGTTGCAACAACAGCTGGGTGGAAGACAGGGCTGCCCTGTGGTCTTGTCTCACTTGACTAATGTAAGGCTGTGCCATGTGAGCACTGTAAATGCCTCGTGGCTGATGGCAAGCTAAAAGCAGGCTTAGAGGCTGGCTTTGCTTAGAGGAGATAGGTTGACCCCCACCACAAATGTAACAAGCTCAAACCCATCCCCAGGGCTCGCATTTGGGGGCAGAAAGAGAGGTCCTGTCTGTTCAGTTCACCTCCCCAAGGCTGTGCCAGCCAGCCTTTTGCCCAGATGGAAATCTGTGTTTTATTTGAATAACCAGCTTCCAGCCTGAGTTACCAGGAGCAAGCAGAGGATCAGAACCCCCTGAGGAAGCCCTCTCAAAACCTCTTCCATGCCTCTGGGTACCTCTGCAAGCTGGCTTCACTCAACTCCTTGGAAGTTAGTCTGAAATTACCCTTTTATCAAGTAACAGAGAGCAGAATACCTGTGACCCTGATGATGTGGGAAGGAATGGGAAGATTCAGTTCATAAACAATTGGCTTCGAGACTGGTGCTACAGGCAGGGCTTTGGATTCTTTGATAACAGCTGGTTTTATAGGGCACCAGTCTGGACAATGACAAGTGGGAAAGGTTTGTCTCACAGAGGCAAAAGGATGCTGGGGCACGAATTAGCAGGGCTCATTTGGAGAGCTTTAAACTAGATTCGAAGGGGGATGGGGTTGTAGCTGGGCTTGCCCCAGTGGGGCAGCGCTCCAGAATTAATGTAGACTGGGAGGCCTCCTATAATCCTAGGGTGAAATCGGTGTGCTCAGCTCGCTCCCTGGAATGTCTGTACACCAATGCGTGCAGCATGGGAAATAAGCAGGAGGAGTTGGAAACCTGTGTTAAGTCAGGAGACTGTGATCTGGTGGCAATTACAGAGACGTGGTGGGACAGCTCACATGACTGGAATATAGTCATGGAGGGCTATGTCCTTTTCAGGAAAGACAGGCCAGCCAGGAGGGGTGGTGGGGTTGCTCTTTATGTGCGGGAGGAACTACAATGCACCGAGTTCTGTCCGGGGACAGATGATGAGCGAGTTGAGAGTCTGTGGGTGAGAATTAAGGGGCAGGCTGGCAGGGGAGATACTGTTGTGGGTGTCTGTTACAGACCACCGGATCAGGGTGAGGAAGTTGACGAGGCCTTCTACAGGCAGCTGAGAGCGGCCTCACAGTCACAGGCCGTGGTCGTCGTGGGGGATTTTAACTTCCCTGATGTTTGCTGGAAGGGCCACTCGGCAACCCAGCCACAGTCCAGGAGGTTCCTCCAGTGTGTGGATGATAACTTCCTCCTGCAAATGGTGGATGAGCCGACCAGGAGAGGAGCACTGCTGGATCTCATCCTCACTAACAAGGAGGGTCTGGTTGAAGCAGTAAGGGTTGAGGGCTGCCTTGGTTGCAGCGACCACGAGATGGTGGAGTTCAGGATCTTGTGTGGTAGGACCAGTAGAATACCAAGTAGAATCGCAACCCTGGACTTTAGCAGGGCAAACTTTGGCCTTTTCAAGCAATTGCTAGGGGAAATCCCATGGGCAAGGCTGCTTGAAGGTAAAGGGGCCCAAGATAGTTGGTTGGCATTCAAGGATTGCTTTTTCCGTGCTCAAGATTGGAGCATCCCGACACGTAGGAAGTCAAGGAAGAGGGCCAGGAGACTTGCGTGGATAAATAGGGAATTGCTGGGTATGCTCAAGTGGAAGAGGAGAGTTTACAGGTCGTGGAAGGAGGGGCTGGCCACTTGGGAGGAATATAAGGCTGCTGCAAGAGGATGTAGGAAGGCAGCTAGGATGACTAAGGCCTCGTTAGAATTAAACCTGGCGAGAAGGGTCAAGGACAGCAGAAAGAGCTTTTTCAAATACATGGCAGATAAAACTAACACCAGAGGCAATGTAGGCCCACTGATGAACGGGTTGGGTTCCCTGGTGACAGAAGATACAGAGATGGCAGAGTTGCTGAATGCCTTCTTTGTCTCTGTCTACTCTGCTGCAGGCAGTCCTGAAGAGCCCTGTACCCCTGAGACCTTAGATGAAGTCAGGTCGACGGAGCGGTTTGCCTTAGTCGATGAGGAATGGGTTAGAGACCAGTTGAGCAATCTGGACATCCATAAATCCATGGGTCCAGATGGGATGCACCCGCGGGTGCTGAGGGAACTGGCGGAAGTCATTGCTAGACCACTCTCCATCATCTTTACCAAGTCTTGGGAGACGGGAGAGGTGCCTGAGGACTGGAGGAAAGCAAATGTCACTCCAGTCTTCAAAAAGGGCAAGAAGGAGGACCCGGGTAACTATAGACCGGTCAGCCCCACCTCCATCCCTGGGAAAGTGATGGAACACCTTGTCCTTGGTGCCATCTTAAGGCATATCAAGGATAAGAGGGTTATGAGGGGCAGTCAACATGGCTTCACCAAGGGGAAATCATGTTTGACCAATCTCTTAGCCTTTTATGAGGAAATAACACGGTGGATGGATGTCGGAGTCGCGGAAGACAAGCCTCATGCTATCATGGTCAGCAAGTCTCGTTTATTTAGCAAGATACAGCCATTTTTATAGTCTCAGTGTTAGATACAATTTCTGCTAGGGTACAGTAAAATCATTGGTTAGTTTGTGCTGATGCAGGGGTTTCTGAATAACCGCGACCGCTTCTTGTTTCAACATGTTTCAACTTGCTCAAGCATTACCGTTGCGCTATCTCAGCAAGCATACAACCTGTATCTTAAGCAACTCGTAGCAAACATTAACCACAAGATTGCCGTACCCTTGAGGCCTATAATTCCACCAGCTGCACAGTATCATGGCCTCTGTTACTTAACCATTCCATTGCTAAGCTCTCTACACTTCCCCCTTTTGTTTTATCCAGTAACAAGTCGCTACTACAGCAAGGCACACACAAATTTACATTAGCAGAGTAACTACTACAGGGTGCAGCAGCATGTTGAAGATGCTGATGGCAGTGAAGGACTAGCCAAAGAAATTTCTTACCAGTGGAATTCTCCCCCCTCTTAATTTGTTCCATCACCTGCTTTATAACACTACCATTGTATTAAAATTTTTCTAGCTTTTGCCTTAGCATTTTCTAGCAGCTACTGCAAATTTCCATACTCTAACATCTCTTTTACAAGTGACAAATCTATACAATACAAGGTGCAGTTTCTTATTAGCAACTAGCTAGTAAATACAGGTGGTTTTATACACAAAATCACAACCTCTAATATAGCTACTTTACAAGCACACATATTCAGGATGTTACTTTTCAGTTGTCCCCAAGTGATGTTTTGCAGTTATTTGTTCTTTCTCTTCCTCTATC